TCTTCTTCATAGCTTCTGCTTGTGTAGCTGCCTGTATTTAATGTGGTTTCAAATATGATTTTTTACTGAACCGGAAATCCTGTTTGTGTTGAATCTAAAATCGGCAGTGAGATAACTTCCTGTTCTTTGGTTATTAGTATTTCTCTCCAACACCTGACCAAAATCTGGATCAGGAGCATCTGCTTCTATGATAAATGTGAAGCTGTTATGCAACGGAAGTGTTACTTCACTGTTCTTGCCTCTTTTATTTTTACCAAAGTGTTATCACTGTAGTAAAGTAGGTTATACAATCATATGCGTAATCATTCAAGGAGCTTCAGAGCGGTAACATATCCCAATGGAAGGTGGGCCGCACGCACAGAGGGATCTTGGTTTTCTGTTTTCCCTCCATGCACCAAACTATTACCATGTTGTTCGTAGAGAGAAAGTGTCATTACTCCCACCTGGGGGGCTAATATTATAACCAGGGAGTCTTTAGGTAAATATATGTGGGTTTTGGACTGAACTAGAAAACAAACTTAAGGACTTAACCTTTGATTTTAAGAAACAGATAGACGTGTGTCGCTCTTCTTTGTCATCCTATAAACAGATACAACCCAGTCTCACGGCATTTCGTGTTATAGTCACGAAATTAATCTATTGATTCGTGTTCACCAACACGATTTCGCAATTTTTTTCGTGTCACACAGAACGATTTTAAAAGCAATGTAAATAATAACAAATTAGAAGGAAAAAAACATTTAAAAAAATACAGATTTCAGTATTCTGACACAGAACGATTTTAGAAGCAATGTATTTCTATTGGTAGTATGTTTCGTGCCTGCACCAAATAATAATAACAAATTAGAAGGAAAAAAGATGACATAAAATACAGATGTCAGTATTCTGAGGCTCTGAGCCATTTCTTTTCCTCACTGACGGCAAAAAAACTCAGACATTATACAATTTAAAATAAAAGGGTTAGGGTTAGGCTTAGGGTAAGATATTGAGTAAGAACATGTTTTTATGAACCACACAGCTTCTGGTCTTCCAAGACCCGACCGGACAAAAAGACGTGTTGCAGGCACGAAACATACTACCAATAGAAATACATTGCATTTAAAATCGTTCTGTGTGACACGAAAAAAAGGTGAAAATCGTGTTGGTGAACACGAATCAATAGATTAAATTAATTTGTGACTAATAACACGAAATGCCGTGAGACTGGGTTGACAGATAATAGGATTAATAGGATAGAAAATCATGCACATTTTAGGGTAGCCACTCATAATAATAATAATAATAGATTACATTTGTATAGCGCCTTTCAAGGGACCCAAGGCCGCTTTACATGGTGAACAAACAACCAAACAAAAGGGGCAAATGATTAAGTGAAAAAAAAAGGTTGTTTCAAACCAGAATATCCTGACAACTCTCCGACTGATTGGCACGAGATTTTGCACAAACATTCAAGGATAAATCCCACCAACTTTCAGGTTATTGTTGGTTATCATGTTATTGTTATAAACTGACAACACTCACACACATTTATCTAGTTTTTTGTGTGTTGCAGTGCAGGGAAGATATGAGCGTTTCACTCCCGCAAAAACAATAGACGTCAATTATTCCGACACCTCCTGAGAGATATGATCTGATTAACGCTCGCATGCACAAAAGCCACACACATCTCTTCACAAACAGCACCTTGATTATCCATTCTCCTGGAACAATACAGAGAGAGGAGCCTCCACAGATTGAGATGTGCACCTGTCCTTGCAGCAGATATTATAACTTCTGTGTGTTTCGTTGTGATTACATCCCCTACACAAGATGCTAACACACATCACTGCTGCACAAAGGCTGCATGTTTCCAGAGGCTGATTGTTGGGAGAAAAGCACTTGACACGAAGCGTACTCCACTACATGAGTGTGAATCATGTCATGTCAGTGCTTACATATCCTGCATTTATCCAGGACCCAGATCTGAGGAGAGCAGCGCGGGTTCACACCAATAATCGACATTCATTATAATTGTAATGAAACGCTGGAGAGGAATATAGATCAGGAGTGTAAGTGAAGCTCTGTGTACCAGTGACGTGCGGTGAGGTTCATGGCTGGTGAGGCACTGACTCTTTCAGTCAGATTTACAAATATTATAGCCTATTTTGACCTTAATCGAAATATTCTGTTATTTTCAAAAGCTTTTTTAGTCTGATGCTATGATTAATTTTAAACAGACCGATCAACAAAAGGATACCCAAAATCTAAATATTGGATTGTTCTTTCTAAGTAAGATCCCATTTTAATTACAGTTGTGGTCTTACCTTGACTTGAAGATGAATATAAGTCCATGCTATCCTTCTGGACAACAATCTCTATTACTGTTTTGTAAAAGTCCTCCTTATCTTCCTGTAGTTTCAAAAGTTGTGTTTGTTGTTTGCGGTAGAATAACAGTAGCAACAAGAACCTGTGGGCTCACGTGCGCCCCCTTCAGTGCGGCAGAGGTTATGGCTGCCTCCCCATGTAATTGTTTCATTGCCGTTGTATGATAAGACCAGCGAGCCTAAATATGATATATACGTGAAATAAGTTATTTAGAGACTATGGATGGCGAGGATAAATGTAATAAAGGGATCTACAAACATCACATTGGTGACCTACAGTGAGATGGTAACAGGCATGCGCTTAGGGCCCGCTTTCCAGCCAGTTTCTGTGGGGTGACACATTCTGAATTGAGGCAGAGCTCATCTGTGCCTCCCCTCAGAATGCGTCACCCCACAGTAAATGGCTTGAGCGCGCTCACAAAATAAGTGGCCCCGCTAAATTAGTGCCCGCGCTCCAGCAAGTTACTGTGGGTTTACGTGAGGCAGTGCTCGTGCTTGCCTCACTTCTCATCGCTCCCGTAGCGGAGCTCGGCAAATTTGCTGATTTTGACTATAAAATGCGATTGGAATCATACAGAAATCACATTTACACAAGATCAGTGGAGACATTTTATTATTATTATTATTTAGTTTTTCTTTAATTGTTTTTCCGTTACATTGGAGTATGACAGGTGAGGCTCTGCCTCCCCTGCCTCCACTGACTGCACGTCGCTGCTGTGTACTGTATGTGCAGGTCAGTGTGTGATATAAGGGATCTTCTTCTATTGATCGGAGACTACACTGGCAGACTTACAGGAGAGGATGCACTGAAAAGATGAAGCAAGTGTTTATGGGTTCAGAGGATTGAAAACGAACACATTATATAATATGAGACGTACACCAAAGCCGTTTCCTTCAATGCATACGTCAGAAACGTTTTCATTATGTTATGTTATCCATTCTGTATCGACACAATCTGAATACTCCACTGAGACTTCAAGGTTTTCAATTGGATCAAATAAAAAAATAGGGATGCAACCAAAGATTATAATCTAATCATAAAGAACATGGAGTTTTATTGTAATGAAATCTGTTCTATTAATAAAGTGTTGCTTTTCTTGACCTTACCCATTTAATCGAGAATCCTTTGTTTCACAATTAAAAAGCCTGCCTCTGTTATATTAGATTAAATTAGATTACATTTATTGTTATTACAAATAGTACAACGAAATTAATTTGCAATAAAATTCCTCAAAATAGTGAAAAGTGTCCCTCACCGTTTCTCAAGGTCCACAGTTGAAGATAACGTCTTTAAATGTTTTGTTTTTCAGTCCAAAACGCAAAAATATTTATTTTCATACACAGAATTATTTGGTCATTTTTGCAGGAAATATTTCTTTTAAAGTGAATTGATTAGTGCAGCTCTGGTGAACAATTGTGATTGTATCCACGCTGTTATTCAACTCCGAATGAAATTCAGTTATTCCTTATAGCCAATAGGCTTGTTTGAGACGAGCTGCGGCTCGCCTCGAAAGTAGACGAGAATAGCCGATTGCAGCCGGGGGGGGGGTCTCAAAAAGCTCGCCTGAAGTCGGACAGCTCGGAGTCGACCTGACTCGGTTTGCATTTATAAAGAATGCACAAATGTGTTTAATCGTTAATGTCAGATATGTACTAAGTAAATACATTTGTTCCTGCTCAAGATTAGATTCAACTTGTTATTGCACAGATTACAGGTACTGAGACAACGAAATGCAGTTTAGCTTCTAACCAGGAGTGCACAAAGCAGTAAAGTGAAAAGTAATGTACACAATCTACAGAATAAAATATAGAATGAATTGAATGATGAATAAACAGTGAGGGGTATGAATACACTAGATATACACAGCAGCCTATGAGCAGTATGAACAGTATGAACAGTGTGTTGTATGAATATGCTAAGATATATAAAGTATGAAAACGGTAAGCAGTGCAAGTATAGTATAAAATATATAGATATTAATGTAATGATGATAAACATTGTGGAACGATGATGAAAAAAGTGAATGGAAGTGGCGACGTAAAACTGACACTAAACAACAACAAACTTTTGCCGAGCCAATGGAGAGTTTCATCTCCAGCACGGGGTAAAGACCACCAATGAGCGCTCAGCTCGAGATACCAGCGAGTCGTTTCCCATCAAGCATTTCGCTTTTGCAGCTCGTGGAGAGAAACTGCTCCGCCTCACTCTCAAGGCTTCCGGCGTCTTTGTCCCGCGATATTTCAACGTCTCATGCAGTCGAGCCTCCAGAGCAAAGGTGCATCTCACTTCGGTTAAATGGATTCCTTGCGTCCCTCACTTGGGTCGTTTCCCTGCGTCTAGTCCCTCCCACCAGGGAAGCATGGAGAGACGCAAGGAAACCACGAGAAGCAGGGAAATTAGTTTCAAGAGCAATGGGACGTCGTTTCCTCCGGAGCGTCACGTAAAGCGACGTCCGTTTGTGACGCCGCACAGCTGATCGTCTGACAGCAGCCAGATCGGTGCATGCGCTTCATCATCCAATCAGTGAGCGATACACAATAAGGGGGCGGGGCGAGTGTCTGAGGATTTCACCGGAGGATGGTCTGGTAGTTCCTCGGTTATCGCTCCTCCGTTATCACTCCTCGATCCTCGGTCCTCCGGCACAAATAAGGCCATTGGGACGCTACTCAAGATGGCGCAGACAAATCAACTTCCGGTGATACCGAGCCCGAGGAGCGAGGAAATGAAAAATAACCGAAGTGAGACGCACCCCAAGTCGGACAAAATGACTAACCATCATGCAACGCACTAGCAAGACGGCGGTCGCAATTGCGCAGGTCTGCGTCGGTCTCGCTCATCTCAAACGAGCCTTATAGCTTCACCTCTTTATGTAGTTTTATCAAAATAGGAGCAGAAGTTTTTATGTTAACAGACGTATAAACCAACAAACAGCAGTGAAAACAAAAGCCAACTGAATGCACCATGAAACTCTGCACAGTGCAGTAATCAAATCTATAAAATCTGCACAGTGAAAGGAAGTTAAAGTCCTGATTTGGTTTCAAATAGTTTTGACATTGACAGAACAAAGTTATTTTTCCATCTTCTGAAACATCTTCTTCCTCTCACTTTAGAATAGTGTTTTGATCTGGAGATGGCCGAATGCATCCTAAAAGCGTAATTATCCCATCATCCTCTGTCAGGCTGATGGAGTCTGACAAAAGTCTCATGAACTCTGCAGAAACATCAGGGCGTTGCTTCAGTGCTAAAGAGTCAGATTTATAGAGAAGAGTTTGAATTGAATCCCTGCGATGGAGGATGATGAGCTTCAGGTGGTTTTATTGTTTAAAGCTTCATATCTGCAGCACAAGAAATATCCTGAGCCCAGCTTTATTCTCTCTTCTCTTTTCTTTCAGGATTTCCGTGTGTGATGAGGACAAATTCAGACACAACGAGTTCATCGGGGAAACGAGAATCCCCCTCAAGAAGCTGAAGCCCAACCAAATCAAAAACTTCAACAACTGCCTGGAGAAACAGCTGCCGGTGGGTCTGACAGAAGTATCTCTAAATGTGATTTCATGGTTAATAAGTGAGAAACTAGAGCGAAGACGATACATGTTAAACCTTGGTTTTTTTAGATCATGTATGTCTAACTATATAAAAGATACCAATAGCAGTGAAACGACACAAATCTCGATACAGGATGCAATGCCACGACGAAAAACGTAAAGAAAATGCGATGTATTTCAACGTACACTTCTGTATTACCATTTGCATAGCTATTGAAGTTAAGCAGGTCATAATTCTTCTACAATATCTATTGTTAGGGAATAATTTGCTTAGGTATTCAACCTTCGACCCAGTTAATCGTTTTCTCTCTTTACTGTCTCTTTTCCCACGGCATAGTTCTACGGCCTTGGGTATTGCTGCTATCTCTCTTAAGGGGGAGGAGCTTGGGTATTGCTGCTATCTCTCTTAAGGGGGAGGAGCTTGGGTATTGCTGCTATCTCTCTTAAGGGGGAGGAGCTTGGGTATTGCTGCTATCTCTCTTAAGGGGGAGGAGCTTGGGTATTGCTGCTATCTCTCTTAAGGGGGAGGAGCTTGGGTATTGCTGCTATCTCTCTTAAGGGGGAGGAGCTTGGGTATTGCTGCTATCTCTCTTAAGGGGGAGGAGCTTGGGTATTGCTGCTATCTCTCTTAAGGGGGAGGAGCTTAGGTATTGCTGCTATCTCTCTTAAGGGGGAGGAGCTTGGGTATTGCTGCTATCTCTCTTAAGGGGGAGGAGCTTGGGTATTGCTGCTATCTCTCTTAAGGGGGAGGAGCTTGGGCGCATTGTTGATGCCAGTCTATGACCGAGCACAAGCCGCCATGAGGTAGTTTACTGTTCAGGGACGTAGGTTCCCTGGCGCACATTCTTTTCTATGGACGAGAGCTCTAGTTAGATTCAGGGTCCATATTGCTTTAGTCTCGCTGATAAAGAATGTTGATGATTACACTCTGAACTAGTTAAACATCGAGCTACAGAAAGAGTTCTTCAGAATTGGTTTGGCAACCGCTGTGTCAACTCGTGACACACCGCATGTCGTGTCAATTCTCCGACCGTAACTCCAAATAAACCAGCAGTGTTTGCCATCAAAGCTCCAGCTCTCCTCGTGTCTCTCTGAGTCCTGTTTCCAATTGCTTCAGAAGTTTTCCCCCATCTATTATATGCTGCTGTGAAAACTATATTTATTCCAGTTTTACAGGAATATGTTCATTTTTCATGTGAAAGTGAAAAATGTCTATTTCCGTTTCTGTAACTCTAACGTGATTTCTTTAAATGTGATTTTATGTCAATGGAAAACCCAAAAATATTAATTTTAATATGATTTAAAACAGCAAAAAGCAGCATTACTCAAATAATAATAATTATAAAATCATAATCACCTTTAAGAGGCTGAAAACAGCTTTTCAACTTAAAGGGGACCTATCATGCAAAATGCACTTTGTGATGTCTGTTATGCATCAATATGTGTCCCCGGTGTGTCGGGGAACTCACGCAGCGTCAGAAAATAAAACCCTCTCTCTTTTCCTCCGTACCCAAATCTTTTAAAACGGGTGTACAACGAGCGGATACAGATTTCCATCCGAACTGACGTGTCCATCCGTGGTGACGTCGGCGGACCCACAGAAAGTTGCTATCAGAAACAATGCCTGACGTGTTTTGGACGTCTTTGTTTACATTAGCAAGCCTCGCTAACACTCAGAGCTAACCTGTACTGGAGAGCACATGTGTTTAAAAAGCAGGAAATAAAAAAAGAACTCACCTTGTGGTAAACCTACAAGAGAAAAAGCATTTGAGCCCCATACTGTTTCAGAAATAATCCTTGACGTGGTTTAGAACAGGATGGCGTTTTATCACAGCAGAATTTAACTTTATCTCTGGTAGAATTCTGATCAGGCATTGGCTCCGCCTCCTCTTATTTATTTTTTTCAAGCTAAGGACCTAAAATCTGCATTTCTCTAACAGGGCTGCAAAAGAGGGGTTTGAGCAGTATGAGGGATGGCTACAATGCATGATCTGTTTGGTATTTTGAAAAAAAAACTTCACAGACATGTTTTATATAGGTATGGCCCTACAATATATTTTTTAAATATAGCATGATAGGTCCACTTTAAATAACATTAACAATTCCTTGAAAAATGTATAAATATCAAAATAGTTGGTGAATTTTTTCAGTCACTTATCATTGCGGCACCAAAAAACATGATTTCATTCGGGTAGAACCATTTTTTATAGTTTTTTTTATATGAAACATCACCTCTCTACATCGTTATGGCATGAATCAGAATCTCTGTAAGGTGATGACGTGGGAGTAACAATTAATGATGTACAATAGACAAGGTCAGATCTGATATCTGACTCACATGTATTTTTATATCCTGAACCACAAGCAGCACTTCCTCTCATGATGTTTCCCGCTGAATCTATACCTTCCCCGTGACTAAATGTGAAAATTATTCAGATAATTGAATGTGAGAACTGCTTGCAACCACAGCAGAGAGTAGATGGACTCACTCCATACGTGCTCTGTTTGTCTTTTAATGCATTTCCTTTCAGTAACGTCACCGTGTCGGAGCTTTTAACACATCTATGTTAACCATCACAACATGCAGAGGCTTTCAGAGAAGCAGATGTTTGTGTCTCTGTTGGGTTGTTGACTATTTTGGAAAAAGCTGCATATGTGTCTTACTCTGACAGGCAGAGTTTGGACACGTTTCACATAGAAATCCTTCAAAGTGAAGCTGGATGCAGAGAGAAGGAGCTCAGAGAAAGAGGCTTTCTGCTCCACTTCCTCTTGAAGTATAACAGATAAGGAGTTTGGACTGCACATGAAATACTGTTTGCAGTGTTGGAGAGAAAAAGGCACCGAACGGTTTGTCGTAAAAAACCCAGCGGTGTGTCTTTTAAGGTGGATTTGGACTGTCAGGCTCATAAATATCAGACAGGCTGTCGACTGGTGAAATGGACCTGTCAAAAGTTAAATATAGTGTAGTAGAAATGCATAAAACAACATGCTTAAAAGTCTAAAAACATCTCTACTAAATGTAAACGATGCACCTTAAATATTACGTTTTCTCAGCTCGTCTCAACATGGAGAGACTCTAACCAATATACCACAAAAATGATGAATATGATTTCATTCATGCACCCTATTCTAAGGGAAGCATTTACGCAATGTGGTGCCTTTTCATTTCAGGTTCTCACTTTGTATTTCTTCACCCCTTTCCCTCAAACTATTTTATTTTACGTAGACACGTTGTGCCTCTCTTCCTCTGTTTCTTACTTCTCTCTTCCTACCCCTGTCTCTCAGACCTATCCTAAGGGAGCAGACACGTTCTGCCTCTCTATCTCCGAGGGTCAAAGTTCATATGGCCAGGGATTCCTTTGAGCGATATGCGCCGGCCCGTGCCTTAAGCCTTGGACTTCTACACAACTGCTCAGGTCTTGATAGATTGAGTGGGGAAGTTCAGGAGAACAACAAGGGTACATTTTTGTACAGCCACATTAATGTAACACTGACAGAGATTTGAATACATTGATAAATTGTCTAAGATATCTTTCAAGCAAACATTTAAAAAATAATGACATTTCCAGCCTTTCATTTGAGATTCTTCTACATTTTCACAGTTTTTTATTCATATAATAGTGGATATATTTTGGTTTTACCCAGAAAAACAACCATTTTGTAACTATTTAATGACATTATGCAAACCAAATGAAGATAAATAGTTGTATCTTTAATAATAAATAACCTTATTGACAACAAATCATAGAAGGTTTTTTGATTTACAGTAAGGGAGGAAATTTATTTTATTGAGCTTTCAAAAAGATGGATTCAGGTGGATGTCACCGATCTTTCAGGTGCCGCGAAAAAAGAATAATAATAATGTGAGCATCAGGCAGGACAGCAGGATAATGACATCTGGCACAGAAATGTGTGAACAGCAAAGGATCAGACACTTGTATTTAATGACGGGTTTTCCCACTTTGTACTGTAAAGGAAATTGGAATTGATCATGGCTGCAGTACATGGAAAGCTTCCCTTTATTCCAGGATATCACCTGACCTGTTTTCCTGGAAGCTCCTAAGGGACTGAGTATTTCCTGGAAGCTCCTAAGGGACTGAGTATTTCCTGGAAGCCGGTCACTTCCCCTTTAACATTATTGTTGCTGCTTTGTTGCTAGCTAGAGAAACAGAAAGTGATGCATATCTGTGTTATTCAGCTCTACTTTCATTTACAGCCGTCTTCAGACAGTCACTTCCGAGGTGTCCGGTTATGCTGCGCATTTAATTCAATTCGTGGGCATCCTCCAGCCAATCTTAATTGAGTTTTATGTCAGGCAATGGTACAATTAGCTGGAGAATGCACAGCAGCGTGTTTGTTTGTGTAAGTGGATTTAATGTTTGGAAAAAGGGAAATGAAGCTCTGTGAAAGAGAGCAGCATGTTGTGTTCATTTGTGATTCTTAATGTTTTATCGTATTTCATTTAGTCTGTTAGTTGTGTGTGTTTATTCAGGTCATTCTCATGTACTGTTGTAGTTACGTGTGTCAAAATAATGAGGTGTTATCATCGTATGAGCATTTAATAACACTCAAATGTACATACATATTACTAGTCAGGCTGTCAACTCAGCTGTCAAAGAGCCAAACTCTTTCCACTTCTGATGTCATTTAACTTTGCCACTTTATTTTCACTTGTTCTAACGCAAACCTTAATCGGATATCATTACAAATATTGTATAACGATGCATGTTTTTCATAGCTTATTTATCTACCCGATTAAAAAATAACAAAGAGAAGAAGTCAAGTTAAAGCAAAAAGGCCAGCCATGCTCCATGGATTATCTGTGAGTTTTAAATAGAAAATAAGACATCTGCATTTCAATCAGGAGAGACGTGTTGATGTAAGAATACATATGTATTGCCAGGAATACACAAATGAATGTAATGGAGGTTTGACGATTAGGCCCCGTACAGGAGTATCATTCGGGAGGGGAGA